GGGATGTTTCATGGGATGTTTCATCCCCTGAAACATCCCATGGGGATACATGCCTTAGGCTGTAGGATGACATCTCTAATGTAGCTTGTTGCAAGAAGGCGCTGCTTCGATACTCCTGAACACAAGCAAGGCAACAACTGACTCTAGACTCTAGACGCCTTGAGTATTGGCGCCAGCAGCAAGGACGACCTGCAGGTTGTGTGAAATTTGCGCGTTCAAGAAGAATTCTTGAGCGCTTGAGTGCGCAAGGGCCCAGGCATCTCCTGAATGGCCTCGCAGGCTTCCTCAATGCAGTCCACGGCTGCCTGGAATTTGAAGGAAATTTGTGGCCCCGCAGCCCCGCAGCCCGGCAGGCATGGCCCAGCATGGCCCCTCAGCCTCGATGCTTTGTCGGAAGCAGCAAGCAACGCAGCCGCTGATCGCCGAGAGCACCCAGCAAAGGCCCGCCATGACCTGGCACCAGAAGTTTGGAGAAGGCGATGCGAAACATTCGACATACTCCGCTCAAGGCATTCCATCTCCAGGAAGTCTATGGATTAAATTAGAATTTCCTTAAGCTTCGCCATCACCTTTGTCACCAGCTCCTCGTTGTCCCCGTACCCTGTGCTGCTGCGATGCTGCGATGCTGCGATGCTGCGCTTCAGATCCGTGGCCTTCTGGAGGGGCAACGCCGCTTGGCAGGTGCCTTGGCTGGAACGGGTACCCGTACCAGTACTCCTGATTCAGAGCCCGTAACAGTCACTAGACCCCTAGGCACGTTTTGTCGCCCAGAGCTGGCTATGCCTGACTGCACGCAACCGATCCTGCAACCTGGTTGTTGCCGGCTGAAGGTCCAAGCATGCTGTGCACGGCATGTACGGCGTGCACAGTAGGTGAAGGATTTCAACACAGCCCCCTGTTTAGACCAGGCTGCCTTGAGAGGGTGCCTGCATTTGCCTCGAACGAGTCTGAAGCGAAGCTTGAGAAGCTTGCGAAGAAACATATCGAAGCGTTGACAACCCTTCAGGTCCCGGCCCAAAGGTAGAAGCCAAGCAGAGCCGACCCAGCTATCGAGAAGGCCATGACCAACCTGAGCAGCGGAGCAGCGGACGTCGAAGCCCTCCAAGCTGAAGCGTCCTTTTTTTGGGATGCCCGCCAAATGAGCAGAACGGTGCAGTGCCGCAGCGCCACCAGGTAAATGTACCTGGATCGACACCCCATTCGCCTGCCCTACGGCCGTACAACTCATTTCGTAAGTCGTTTCAGGCGGCCGACCCGAGGAGAACGGCCAAGAAGAAGGCAATCAAAAGCACTGGCCAGGCGGCCGGGATCGACCTGACGAAAATGGCCCGCAGTAAGCCGTAAGCCGGTTTACCTTCCAGCAATGTCTACAAAGCTGGCTTCAACCCTCTGAGCCCAGCACGACAGCTGCTCCAAGAATCGCTCTGTATGCTGGTTGCTCAAACCTGCTTGAAGCAAAAGCGCCATCTAAGAGAGACAGGGCTCAAATAGCCTGACTCCAAAGAGTCGGCCGCGCTCTTCAGCAGCCCCGAGCTGTCCTTTCGCTTTCGCTCTTCTGAATCGAGCAAACCCTCGTCGCAACATGTCGCAACCCTGCGACTTCGGTCCGGAAAGCAGTAGCGGTTCATGACGACCATCGTCTTATAAGAATTTATCTGCTGCGAGGCAGAAACGATCCTCAAAAACAGAAAACAAGGCACCGGTCTGAGGCTCTGAGGTCTGCTTGGACGTCCGGGGGTGCTGCTTGCATTCAGGGACAGGCGCATAAAGGCTTCCACCGAAGACCTCTGTTGATAAATGCTCGCATGCATGCCAAAGGCAGGCTCCTAGGCGCAGCACGCTGGGGACGCCCGGGCAGCTGGACACGCAGACGGGATCTTTCTGAGCAGCATGGCTCAGAGATTTTTTTCTGAACAATCACTCACTCTCGCTGCGCCGAGTACCAGGTTGAGAGAAACGTCTGCCGCCGTCATGGCCTCAGCGGTCAACTGAAAAGCGAAAGAGAGGCTGGGCATTCCTTCATGGCCCTGATTGGGGCCCTGATGAGGGCCATGCCGAGTTCATGCACCAAAACAAATAAGGCCTCGGCTTCGGTCATGTCGGGTCATTGGGTTTTTCCAATGCTTGGATGTCCCAGGTGCCAGGCTTTCCCGGCACACCCTCCGGGCCCTCCAGGCCACAAATCTTGCCCTGATAATCAATACCATGATAGAGCCTCGTTGCACTCGATGCAGGTTGGACTACAGCGCAGAATTTGGCATCTACTCCCGGTTTCCTACACTTTGGGGCATGGACTTGCCCATCTCGCCGTGCATCACTCCATAGCCTTGTCAAGTCATTAGCTCGAAAAGGCTTGCGAAGTCTACGGCATTCAGGTGCTGGCCATAAAGGCAGCCAAGCCCCGCAAGGCTGGCAAGAAAGACCAAACAGCAAAGCCCATCCGTGCCTGAAGCACCACCCAACAAGTCTTCAAGAGTTTGTGCTGACTATCTGGGACGAGGAGCAGCTGTGCCTTGCCTTCAACTCCTCATCCTCAAATTTCCAAAAATTGGAGTAGATCATGTTCGAATCAGTTCGAGCCTCATCGTGAAACATCACCTTTTCCCGCAAAGGACACCTCACACGCACACCGGCGAAACTTGCAAACCAAAATCACGCGATGCTGGCCTGAGGAAGCTTTGAGGGCCGAAGGGGCAGGCGTTGCGCCGACAATGAGCGCTTCAAAAGCATTATCAGCTAGTCCCTGGAGCCATTTCGAGCCATTTCCATGTTTCCGCTTTCATCAGGGTACCTCACATGCACAGCCAGTTTGCTTGTTTTAGGCGAGAGAATCCTTCGCCTGAATCTGAATTTGCAGTGTGCCCTTCGCCATGGCGGGTCATTGCCAAATAACGGTGGGTGGGTGGGTGGGTGGGTG